CTATCCTGCAGCACCACGCCAGGACTCCAATAGTGCCTAGAATATGGTGGTGGGTGAACGAAAACTGGGATCTGAATGGAGATGTCGTCCTGGAGGCATGAGATGTGACTGATGGTCAGCTCAGATAGTAGACTGCACTCTGGACAGTACTGCCTGGACATGCACTTTCCAGCAGAGGTGGTTGAGAAAGCTCTCTGTGGTGTAGCTCTGTATGGAGCAGGACAGGTCCCTTTGTGGAAACTCAGCCTACAACTCTAGCCAAGTGTTCCTTCACCTCACTCTTGTGAAACTGAACTACTTACCCGATTCAACATTTTCATGAATGATGATGGAGATGACAGTGGAGAAGAAAAACACCTGGAGGACAGAAGAGGTCACGTTTACATTCACAATGTTGTGCATTGTTGGTCTAATGAAGATTTCACCTTAGTAAATTTATATCTTGCCACAGTAGTAATAATGAATAAGCTGACAGGGTAGGTTGTTTATCAAATCAAAATAATACCTAAGTTTTTAAGAGCATGTGAGTGACAGACAATTGGGTTTGGAGAAGTGGCCCATTCATTCATTTCACAGTAGATTCTGTGTAGCTGTGACGTGCAAGAAAGTACTAGTTATTTCAGGGATAAGGCAAGAAGTGAAATGACATGATCCCCAAATCACAGCGTTTCCATTGCACCCAGCATTAAAATTAATAATGCTTATCAACAACCGAATAACAGCTGCAACAAGTAAGCCAATATAATGATGGTGAAGAATTTAACTATAGCTGCATAATAATTCATACCGTGAATGTATTATAATTTATTTAAATATTTTCCTGTTATTGAAGTTGTTTCTCATGTTTTACTCCCACAAACAATGCTGCAAAATGTGTACACACACATAATGCATCTCTGTATTTTCAGTAGCCTCATATGCATGTGAAAGTTGAACAAGGAGTAAGAAAGTCCACAGATGAATTGATGCATTTGAGTTATGGTGTTGGAGAAGAATATTGAAAGTACCATGGGTTGTCAGAAGAACAAACAAATCTGTGTTGGAAGAAGTAACAGCCAAACGTTCCTTAGAAGTCAGGATGATGAGACTTCGTCTCTCTTACTGTGGACATATTGTCAGGAGGGACCAGTCCCTTAAGAAGGACATCATGCTTGGTAAAGTGGAGAGTCAGCAAAAAAGAGGAAGACCCCCAATGGGATGGAATGGCACAGTGGAAGCAGCAATGTGCTCAAGCTTAGCAATGATTGTGAGGTTGGAGCAGGACAGGGCAGTGTTTCGTTCTATTGTACACGAGTCTGAACTGACTCAACCGCACTTAACAATTATAACAATAACAGCATATTTGTTATTTATAACTGCTAGTTATTTCCTATCTGTTACTGCTGTGAAACAAATTCTTCAACATGGGATTATTACTCAGAAGACATGTAACTAATTGAAATTGACAATATCAACTCCCTCTCCCCAAACTGGTGGCAATTCACATTCGCGTCGATTGAAACATTATCTTCAGTTCCATTTATTTCTGCCAACCTGCTGAGTGACAAATCAGATTGTTATTCTAATCTGAATGTCCCTGACCATCAGTCCAGTTAATTACTCATTCATACAATGCTGCATGCTTTTCCTTTTCTGCAAATTGCCTGGTCATGGGCTCTTGCATTTTTCGGTTGGATTGCTATGATTTTTAGCATTTCTCAGGAGCTTCATATAGTGGCGACACTAATCTTTTTTGTCTGTCTCATGCAAATACTTTCTCCAGTGTATCTGTCATTTGTCTTCTCTTATATTGTACAGATTTTTAAATTAGATATGGAAAACATACCAAATATACGTATTATCCTTTGATCCCTAATTTAAAGATGTGCATATAGAAAAGACCAATTTCCTTTTATGGTGGGTTTTCATCTTGCTAAGAAGGTTTCTCCCACTCCCAGATAACACATGTGCTCCTCTGATCTGTTTCATACAAGACAAAGAGTGATTTTCAACTCCGTAGCTTAAAACACTTCATCAGCTTCTGGCTGCCTTAGAATCAGCTCCAAAGACTCAGTGTAGCCTTAAGGAATCTGAGAAGGAATGCGATGTTTTAAAACAGATCTTTCCACACCAGGATGGGACACTGGTATCCATTTATAGCAGGGGTGGGGAAGCTTTTTTCTGCCAAGGGCCATTTGGATATTTATAACATCATTTGCAAGCCATACAAATTTATCAACTTGAAAATTAGCCAGCTATATTTGGTCAAACATTGAATCAACTCACCCCTAACGTGATGTCTAAGGAGCTCTGGGAGCATAGTGGTTACAAGTCGGGCAGAAAACCTCAAGGTCAGCAGTTTGAAACTACCAGTTGTTCCATGGGAGAAAGATGAGGCTTTCTGCTCCCGTAAAGATTTACAGCCTGGGGAATCCTGTGCAGGATCGCTATGAGTCAGAACCAAGTCCATGGTACACCACCACCACCACCACCGATGTGTTGGCTGGGGGAGAGTTAAGTAAATGTTTGACCAAGTATACTCACCCCTAATGTGATGGAGCATAGTGCTTATGAATCGGGCTGTGAACCACAAGGTCAGCAGTTCAAAACTACCAGCTGTTCCACAGGAGAAAGATGAGGCTTTCTGTTCCCGTAAAGATTTACAGCCTTGGAAACCTTGTACAGGGTCGCTATGAGTCGGAACCGACTCCACGGCACTTAACAACAACAACAATGTGATGGTGGAGTCCTGGTGTGACGCTGTAGGATAAGCGCTTGACCTCAAGGTCGGTTTAAACCACTAGGTCAGAGGTTCAAACTCACCAGCTGCTCCGTGGATACCGTATACAGGGTTGCTGTGAGTCGGAACCAACTTGATGGCACTTAACAACAACAACAATGTGATGGCTGGAACTGAAATTGCCTTCTCAGAACCAGACCGAATGATTACGGCCCTCGGATTGGACGTTCCCACCTTTGATTTAGAGGAAGGGAGACAGGAGGTTTGACATCCAAGCACTTGCTTTTTTTGATCCAATGCTTATGAGTCTTTTTAGCTGATTTTGAATCTAGGGGTGTCTCCAAGGATGGGAAATCTTTATTCTGTTTTCATCACACCAGGAGTACCCCTCCATGAGTTTGAGAATCAGTTTTTAAGCCACTCTGCGTGGGTCCCTCCTTCCCATTGTCAAGGGTAGCCTGGAACCCCCAAAGCCCCTCTCTACCAGGCTGACCAGAAGGGAATCAAGGCCTTAACAAGAACTCAAGATGCCCTTCTCTGTCTCTAACAGAGGTTAGCAGTACCAGCCACAGTGAGCTCCGTAGCACACACAGTGTCCTCCCAGGAGACTTTACACAGGCAGCCTGCCGGATTGCGTCTCTGTTGTGTGGGTCTCAGCAATGTGCGTGGACGGTCTCTGGTTTATAGGGGAGCTGGGGTGTCCACCTTCTGAGCCTAAATCCCGAAAGCTCGCACATTTGGGGCTCCCCTTTTCTTCTTATGGTCCAAGCTTCTTTGTAGGGGAGCTCGCCTTTGGATTCTGAGGGGGTTGCATGGGCACCATGGCAACATCAAGGAAGGTTCTGGGCACTTCCTGTTCCGGGGCCTGTGCTCTGGGGAAGAAGCTGGGGGTCTCCCTGAGTGGAAGTATAGCGCTCACATGTTTGGGGTGCTAGAGGGTCGTAAAGTGAGAGAGAGACAGTACTTCTTTGTCCTCCACCTCAGGGGTGCAGAGCTAGGCCTGTTTCCCTGCAGGACCATGCTTCCTTCCCATGCCTGAGGTGGTCTGGAAGCTTCTCTAAAAGAGCTGCAGGAAGCCAGACTAGAAGATGTTCAGACTTTCCCTGGTTCTGGCATGTATACAAAATCCCCACATTTTGTATCCATACATGCGTTGACAAAAATATTAAATCCCAAAGTGGAGTGCTTTTTATTAAAAGATTATTAAAAGTTGTGTCTCTCAGTGTGATTTGTTGATAATTCTTAACCTTTCTCGTCTGAGAGCTAACCTAAAAACAGGTTTAAATTCTTGACCATGGGGCAAGGACCAGGGAGAAGTCTTGTAGTGATTTTGTCTACCAGGCCCAAACACCCAATCAGAAGAGCTGGAGGTTACATCAGTCTAACCAGTTGGGAGCCTTGGTCCATGTGTGATAGTTAAGGTTCTGTGTCAACTTGCCTGGGCCAGGATTCCCAATGGTTCGGCAGTCAAGATGTAAATATTTCCCATAAAGAGATCAGCTGTGAGCAGCCAATCAATGGAAAGGAAGTTTCCTTGGGGGTGTGGCCTGCTTCCAATACATTGAGCACTCAGGCAAAACTTGCTTTCTGTTGGATCTGGATGCTGCATTTGGCTCATCATCTGACCTTCGGTTCTTTGGACTTCAACAGCCTGCTGTATTGTCTACTGATCCTGGGAGTCTTCAGCAGTCAGACCTGCCTTTCTGCTGTCTGATCTGCTGATCTTGGTTCATCAGATCTGCCGCTTCATGAGTCAGGAGAAGCCTCCAGCCTGACCTCTGACCCATGGACTTGGAACGTGGTCACCTCTACAATTATGTGAGCTATTCCCTTGAGAGGAACCTCTGTCTATATACAGATACACGTTTCACTGGTTTTGCTTCTCTAGAGAGTTCAGCCTAAGACACCATGGAAGCTTGCCCCAGGGTTCACAGGTTCCAACCCCATGATTACAGTTGGAATCTGGGCGGCCCCCTTGAAACCTAAAGACCCAAAGAGGAGGGTCTACTGATCTCCCTCAACCTGCATCTCCTGAGTCATGGACATTATCAAATAAAGCAGGAAGAACACCTGCTCAGCCCACCTGGAGTTGTGTTGGAGTTGGAGGCATTTCTATGGAAAATAGTGCCCATGGTAAGCCCTGAAATTGAACTCCTATCCCAACATCCGGCACCATCTTTTAGGTCAGTTTAGTGTATTATCATCTCACAGATGCAAGTCAAGCTCATTAATCTTCTACTTAGCAAATGAAGGCACTCCTTGAAATTGACAATTACACCTCCCTTGCTTTCTCTGATGAAAATTGATCTGCAATAGACTCCAACTCACCTTTTTCCATTTTTTTCTCTCCATACTTAGCAGAGCAAGATCCTATAGTCTGCCTTGACCCATCTGAAAAAATGTGAATAACAGTGATATTAACTGGTCTTCTTTGTTGTTGTTAAGTGCCATTGAGTGGTTCCAACTCATCAAGACCCTGTATAGGGTTTCCAAAGAGCTGCTGGTGAGTTTGAACTGCCAACCTTGTGGTTCAAGCGACCAGAACCCGCAGCGTCACACCAGAAATCCATCATAGACAGCATTGTACTTCAAGATAGAGCT